TTTTAATATAATTTTATTACAAAAACATTTTTTGAGATGTAATTTCTACTGAAATTTTTCTCAGGTACATAAAAGAAGTGTCACAACTTTCTTATTTAGGGCTCCAGGTAGAATTATGAATTACCCACAACACTAAGAAGTACTGGAGGAGGGCTCCTGTGGGCTCGGGCACAATTTAAGGTCTGGAGAAAACATGCATATTTTAAGAATTCTCAATATTTTGAGACAATTACATGGCAAAAACTTACCATGAAAAAAATTAAAAATATACTTTTAATTAACTGCATGGTTATTTTGTTCTTGACAAGAAATATTTCATAATTGGTGCTTTATCATTATACCTTGCTTATTTTTTACATTTAAAATATTGTATAATAAGTGGCCAAAACAAAACTTTACGATATAACAGCAAAAAATAAAAATGCCTTATTTTCATGCATTTTAATGTTATCTCTTAAATATAATTCCAAAATATTACAATTATTTAAATGAAATTTATCAATGTTACAATGTTCTAAAATAAAAAAATCGCTAAAAAATTCCCAGATCTCGGAAATAAAAATTTTCTATAGAAACTGATCTTAAAATAATCAAAATGTTGATAAGTTGCCAAATTTAGAATCGTTTAATAAAAGAATTTACATCCCCAAAAGTGAAAAGTTGTTTAAAGCTCTTCATGAAAAATGAAATATTGAATGCTTTGTTCCCTCTTGCTCAGAAACTCGAGTATCCCACCATTTATAGTAGAAATAGGAATAAATTATAACCCATTTAAAAGATAACCATATTTGTCAGGGAATATTCCTCCAAAATGTTAATTCACACTCAAAATAGCAGTTGTAAAAACAGAAATTTCAGATGATTAAAATTAAGAACTTTTAAGGACTATACGAACCCTGCTCAGCTACCCAGCACTGTTGGTCCGAAAATCACACTTTTAATTTTTTTTGCAGCCGAAATTATTCAAAAAACAAATTCCATTGGTGAATTAGATTTTCTAGAGGAGTTCCACATTCACAAAAATCTTCCTGTTCTAGTGAATGACTATAATTCCAATCCATCCTTTACCTTCAGCCTTAAGGGAATTATGTTTTAGTTTCCTTGTTTTATCCATAGATGGTGCTAGTAGCTTAACTTCTGTTCAGCCATTCTTACCTTATCACCATATTTTACCTCTTTCATTTGCACTTAGGTAGCTGAGGAAGATGGTTCTCTATTTAAACCATCGAAAACAGTCCTGCAAAAATTAGGAATCTTACGCTGATTCTTGTTTGATGTTTCCAATAATCTTTGTTCAGCATGTCAGTAAGCAACATATTTGTATGCAGTACCTTAAAAAACAAAGGAAATGTTGAATCCTTCAGTCATCACTTCATACTATCAGTTTTTGAAATATCACAGAGTGCAGACTTTACTCTAAAAAAGAAATCCAATGTTGTCAAGTTGAGTGAACCAGCAATTCTGCTGGCAAAAGATTTTTGATTCTTCTCAGCATATAAAAATTCTTTTGACATATGTGCTGCAAGATTACATCTGCCTAGACTCATAGATAACTGCATGCTAATCTTTAGTTTATACATCATAATAATTTTTCTTCACATGATTTTTGTAGTTATATTGCTTAGAACAGATAACTACTACTTCACCAACTAATTCATTTACTGATTAATTGGAAATGCAAATGACATTGTTAATAGCAAAAAAGCATTTTACCTTTAAAGATAAAGCAGAATACATTCACGATTACTGCAAAATTCAAATGTGAACAATGTTCAATGCAAATTTTCAACAGAAAGCAGTATGCATGGGACATTCACAAAACTAACAAAGTCTCTTTTTTTCCCTTGCTAGCATAGCATAAATTGTAGAAAATAAAATCCCATAAATATCTATGTTCAAACTTTCAGATATGCTTCCCTGGAACTTCTGTGGTTGGATATATGCAAATTTTTAATAGACAAAGTAATTTAGAAATTTTTACATTTTAACTACAGGACATTTTATGCATTTACATTTCTGCTATAGGACATTTTATGAACTTACATTTTTGCTTCAGGATGCTTCATTTAGCATGTGCAAGTCCTCATGTTAGCATAATGTAAATTTACTATAACAATAGTCTATAAACCAACAGAGATATCTGACATTCAGCTTACTGGACACATTTTAAGATCTATAATTTTACATACAACATAAGAGATAATTTATTTTCAGCATTAAATATGTGTTTACATTCAAAGAAACAAATTCTATATAAAATTGCATAAAGTATTGTTTTAACCAGAAAAAAAAAAGTTGAGAGTAGGGGGGGGGAAGGACTGGTTTGAAATTCCCTGATTTGTTATAAAGTTTTGCTCTGTATAAAATAAGCAAAATTCCAATTATGTTAAATGTGGTTTAAAAGATTTTACACTGCTAATTTTTTTTTTTTAATAATGGTACATTAAAAGGCCAGAAATCTGCAATGCTTGGGACCAGAGTTGTGAAGATATTAGGATTTTGGGACAGAAAAGATAAATCATAATATTCAGATTAAAAGTGCAAAATAAATAAGGCATATTAGATACACTTAATTAAATTATTATATACATTATTACAATAATATACATAGAGAATTACATTTATTATAAGCCTTAAATTATTATATATATATGTACACATTTGTGGCTAGCGCATTGCGCAGCAGCACCACAGGTTCGGGGCTCGATCCCCGAGCTGGACGAGGTCAACTTAGCCTCAAAAATGAGTACCAAGTTCGCTTGGTACTAAACACTGGGGGTTCTGCGACAAGCTGACCGCTTGTTCAGGGCATACGCTTACACACTACGGGGCCCACGGTCAAGAAAGCAGATTTCGGGGCACTGTAGGTATTGGCCCGTTAGGGCTGTTACGCCACTGAGTTTAGTTTTATATATATATATATACATTTACTATATTATTCATTTATATTAGTGATTACAGGGATATTTAAAAGCATTATGGATATATACACAACAGACACAAAAAATAAGGGGTATTAATGAAGCATAAAATATTTCTTTTTTTTTTTTTTTTTTAACGTTTCAAACATTTTTCTGGTAGAAGTTTGTTTTAAAACTTTAGGGTGCTTCCAAGTATGTTTTTTTAATTATATAGAGTCATAATCTCTTGCTTCGTTACACAGCTCTGCTGTTTAAAAAATTTTAGGTACTTTTGACCATGTTCCAAACGCTTATTTTAGATACTTTCTCAGTCTTATCAAAGTCATTATCTGTTTCAGTGTCGAAATCGTTTTCCTGCTGTGGCGACTTCAAAACAGAGCCAATGATTTTATCACCGGTCATCTGATATGCCACTGTTGGTTCATCTGAACACATCATCCATTCAACGATATCTTCTTGCAAAGCCTCCTCATTTGTTCTTTCTTTTGAATATTACAAGCAATTCTCTTACTTTAAGCCTTGCTTCACTAACCCTAAAACCAGAAAATTCACTATGATCACTCTCAGTTTCAATAAACGAAGAGATGGCCATACATTACGCCAGGCATTTACTAATGTTGTTTGGGAAACAGAATTCCCTGATTTTGCTAACAAATAAATGCAGTCTTTGATGGTGAATATATATATATATTTTATAATTACAAAGTGAAATAGAACGGTCACTTAAAAGAATTGTTTTCAACTCTGATTTATTTTTTTACCTTGATACAGATTGGAGGGTAAAAAAGTTTTACTGTGATGTCAATAATTTGGTATTTCCGGCTGTGGTATTTCCATTGTCATTACCATTCGATAATTATGATTTTGTTACTCGGTAAATATTTTTTTCTTCAATATTTCGTTCTCTATGCTGCAGGTTCCGAAACCTATAAATTTAATGTTTATAATTCGAGAAGCAACGCACATTTTCGGCATTTGACTGTATTATTGATGTTCCTGCTTAATGGTATTTTTACAACTCCTTTAGTCATTTTCCCACAACAAAGTAAATTTAATTGATGTAATCCATCAATGAACATACATATTTGAGGTAATCTCCTACACCACGAAATCTCATTATAAAAGTGAATTTACCTACAGATAAAGAAATAATTAAAAAAATATTTAATAAAAACTGTTCATGGCTTGTTTTAGGACTACTTAATGTTGCTTTTCTCCAACATTTCACTTCGATTTCGGTTCAATGAGTTTTACTGCATTAAAATTTCTTTTAATTCTAGCTATATTCTGAAAGTACCATCACTATTCAAATCTACTTACTTTATATTTTTTATTCAGATAAGCATGCATTTCTGCAAGTTTATCTAAAAAATGTTACACTTTCAGAGTTAGCTATCACAGACAGAGATAGCAAAATTTCAGTGAATAATACTTTTCTTCTGATGAACCAGTGAAAGAGAAATCAAGAAACAAATGATGATCAATGTTTTTTCTTTACAATCAAATTTGGAATTTCAAAAATAAATGGTAGGCTCAGGAATATCTTTTAGAACTCTTACCCCTGATTATGGGTAAAAACAAAACAAAATTTTATGGAAACACTGTAAATTAATAGTACTCAGCCCCCCCCATGAAAATTTCCATGGAAAGCCTTAGAATAAAAATTTTAGTAAGTTAATTAATTAAACAATAGCATGAGCATTTATTAAATGAAATACTAACATTCAAAATTTAAAAATATTCAAACAAGTTTTATAAAAAGTGTATTACACACAGTCTGGACATTCTGTTTAAGGCTTTAACAAAATATCAAGTCTCATCATATGCTAGTATCAAAATATCAAGAAGTCGTAAATATTATGATGTATCTGCTTTATTATGATGTAAACTGATTTTTAATCAAAAACCTTTTAGAATCTGCTGCCCAGCAGACATTTATTGTCTCAGGCCACCCTCATACAAAATTCATTTCATTACATCCCATTCATTATTTTTTCAGAAGTCACTGCTAATTTAATGAAAATAAGTAATAAATTCAAAACCATAATTTTTACAATTTTAACTAAAAAAATCACCTACCTATTTTATCTTGTCCTAATATTTCAAAAGCATCATTATCCCTGGAATTCATCATTTCAAGCAATTTAACTTCAATTTGGGCTTGATTAAGAAATGGTTTTTTGTTTTTGATTATTTTTATCGCCACCTGGCACTTTTCTTCATGATCAAATGCCTTAACAACCTGAAAAACAATGTGTACCAGATATTGCTTATCTAACATTTCCAAAAGTTCAAATTTATCAATACAAATACAGTTGAACACAAATTTATCAATAATACATACCATTCAAATGCTTCAAAATTTTTAATAAAACTTTCTATTTCACTGAACTTTAAAGTATCAGATATATTAGCAAAAGAATTTCTAACAATTACTAGAAATGCTCATGAAATCACTGTGCTATTTGATTTTAATAGTATGTAATAAAATGCATAATAATCCAGTGCCCAACACTTCGGATGCAACTACAGTAAAATGTCAAAAGTCAACTTCCTGGAATACTGGGAGTCCAATTAAGCTGCAGGTTTTGATTAGCCTTCAACTAAATTATCAATTCTCTGCTGAATTCATATATTCTAAGTTGCATATGTACTCACACACAGCACATGAAAATGCCTATGTAATCAGTCCAATTTCATGCACATTAACCTCAAACAAATCTATGAATATTCAGAAGTTTTAAGCAATGGGTTAATGGGGATATGAAATGGAACAGCTTCATAAATTCATATCGCATAATAATAACTACCATATTTGTTTCACATGATTAACACGTTCAGTACGGGCGTGTCATATATGAATCAGCAGCAAACATTACCTCATGGCCGGGTGTGTCATATTTGAATCGCCATTTAATTCACTCTATGGCCATACCACAATTGATTCTTTAGATAGAACACTTAATTAGTATTTTTTATTGGCGCTATATGTAGCTGTATGTCTGTTATGGTGAAATATATCAAGTAAGTATGCTTACCTTCATTCCTATGCAATGTTTTTTATTTTTGGTATTTTGTTTCGGAATGAGAACGAGATTCGTGGGTGGGTGTTAAGCAATGTAATGTCTCTTTAACTGCATCATTTGATATAAACAAATGCACATGTTATCGCTGCATTAAGGTACTTTTTATTTTTATTTTTGTGATATAGTGGGATAGATGTTCTATCATTAGAGTTTTTTTAAAATTACTCTTAGATTTTTCCTTTTTGTATTACTAAAAGTAATACAAAAAGGAAAAATTTTTCCGGCATTGAGATGAATATTTTGTATTGTCAGCGAAACGTATTTTTTTTAGTGGCAAACGAAAGCAGTATCTGAACATAGAATATACACAAATGCTAATTCATTAGTGTTGAGTAATGTAATGGCTCTTACTGCATCATTAAGTTAGGCTTAGTAGTGTGAATTGCTCGTCCCTACAAGACGACGCATCCGGTTAACACACCATCCCAAGACAACGCTTCAGTAACAGAGATGCCCATCATGAACAGATTAACAATAGCAAGGAATCCATTTGAATCAAAGATCAATCGAGGAAGATCAACTGCTGGCATGTGAAGTAACTACTTGCTCAACATATACGCCTTTCCTATGAAGTGCAGGTCAAGTCAAACTGCTGTCTTAGAAGCTTTAAAACATTCACCACACATTTCACAGCTGTCTTCTATGGCTGATTTCAAGGCCTTATCTTACAACATCTGAAGACACATGCTGTGAATGTTCAAAGGCTGGCAGTTCTTTTTAAAGGCATCCTTCCCAAATGCCTGCAATATTCAGTGGCTTTATGCGGCTGCATAGAGGCCTACCTTAAGACATACAGTAAACTATTAGACAAGCTGCTTTGATACCTACATTTCTCTTTGACAATGCATGAGCTGATTGGTGTGTGTGGGCAACATGCCTGTATTACTGAAGACCAATGGTTACACTAACCCTCCACCACTTTTGCAGCATATAAGCCACTTTGTTTTCCCTCTCTGACTGTTTAATCAAATGCGACATCAAAACAGTGAGAACATTTTTGGCTACTTTCTATATCCCACCACTGTTTTGGATATAAGTTTTCTGTCTTCAGATATAGGAATTATTTTTAGCAATTCCTTTTTTTTTCGCTTATTACCACAGCATTCAGTCTTGTGTTTCAGATTCCTTTCCAGGATAAATAAAAATAAACAAAAGCACTGACAAACAACTAAACAAATCTCACACATATTGTCTGAATACAAGAAGTACAGTTCAAGGAGAGAAGGAAAATTGTTCCGAAGTCCTTACTTCTTATTGGAAGTCATGGATTTTGTGCTCTTATTTAACAGTATGCACACTAAGGAATTACAGTATCGTCACTATTACTACAGACTTGACTGAGAAGAGTAATAACTGGTCATAATTGACATTTTATGAAAGTAGTGCTTGAAGTTATGAAAGCTTGAAGTAACATTTAATGAAAGTAGTGCTTCCAACTCTGTATAAAGAGTTCAAAAAATTGTTCATATATCCTAATATGGGAAAATTATTTATCAAGATTTATAAAAAGTTAAATATCAATAAAAAAGTTTTGGTGTAAATCCACATTATCATAAAAATTATAACTAAACAAAATATTTCTCTACTTGCTATGAAAATACTTCCTAAAGATTTAAAATATAATAATTTAGCTTACAAAAATTAAAACAGAAAAACCAAATAAAATATGCATGTTTTTGCATATACCCGACTCCTTAAATCCCGTTACAGTAACAGTCTGATATTTAAAATCATATACAATAACAAGCATTCAAAACAGGAAAGGGATTTAAAAAAAAAACATATTTTTAACTTTGGACGTTTTACAGCAGCTCTGATTTGACATGACTTCTGCCAACTACATTATCAAATAATGGTGGCCATTTTAGATACAGCTAACACATATATAAACCAAAGAAAGAAATTTTAATTATATAGAAAAAATAGCTGATGAGACCACAATGCAGCTCAAATGAAGAATCAAATGTTATGACAGGCTTTCTAAATGTATATGCAAATAAACAGTTAAACTTAAAGATGACTTAAAAAGAATATAAAAGGAAGGTCATTAAAAAAGGGGGTCTCGCAAGTGGCTAAGGGTAAAGCCTGCTAGATACTAGTAGTTTAACATAGGTTCAAAACCAGGCAAGTGGGCTGGCTGCATGGTTGATTTTCATCATTTTGCTGATATTTTAATTGTGTGATGTGAATACAAGCATGTTTCCTTAGGAAGTCCTCCACGAAGGCATCCCTCTCCTTTGGCAGATAGCTCTTGTTTGTAGCACCATATTCGATTAACCAAAACATACCACTAAAAAATCATTTTTAAAACAAAACACAGCTATTGTATTCTTTCGTGGGTTAATGTCTATGATTTAAAAAATACAGTACAATGATACTACTATTAAACATGCTGGAGGGAAATTGTACCTAAATACTAAAACACCACAATCACACTAAAATTACTTCATGGAATTTAATTAAATTAATTTCTGTAGAGCTGAATACCCTTGGCCCCTATAGTTTTATCCATATTTCTTATGACAGAATAAATTTAAAGATCCAATAATTCCAAATGAAAAGTATTTAAAAAAATACAGTATCTTTAATTGGAAGTTTTTTTTAAAAAGACTAAATTTTGAAGAAAATTGCAGCAAGTTTGAAATTGTTTTTCATTGTATACATTTTCCTTGGCCTCTTGCTTTAATAACAGCTACAACAAACCTTACATGCGTGCACTGCAATTATTTTCAAATATTCCAAGTATTTCAAAGATCTCATCAGGGAATAATCCTACACTTCAAAATAACTTCCTTACCTAAAGAGTTAAAGTAACTTTCAAACAGTATGAATAATTATCATACTTCAAGTCATACAGCAGAAATTTAAAGTCTTACAAATACCACAACTTTTGCAATATGAGGAAGACTTAATAAAACTGCATTTAGGATTTCAACAAATATCATGGAAAACTCACTCAAATCACAGAAAAAAAAAAAAAAAAAAAAGAGCCATTAACATTTAAACATACCTGGCCAAATGAGCCTTTGCCTATAAGAGAATCTATCTCATATCTGTCAATAAACTTTTCCCCACTTCTAATGATGTAGTCATGATTATCATCATCATATCCCTCATTATATAATTTTCTTTCTTTTTTGTGACTTGTATCATCAGCTTGAGTCTGTTGAGCACGTCGCTTCTTCTTTGCATAATATACCTAAATAAGAAATCACATATGTAATTTTACATCAGAAATGTAACAGTTCTCATAAATTTGGAAAAAATAACGAAATACAGAAATCTACATAAAAGATTTTGATGATGTTTACAAAGCTGAAATAGGTTACTAATTTTTTAAAAAATACTTAGCTCACAGAGGAAAACTAGACTGAAAATACTGTGCGAATGCAATGGGGAAAGTACTTTAACACATTAAAGGCGGGAGTCGTAGTACTTCGATTTATCTCGACTGTAGCTTAAAGGCGGGAGTCGTAGTACTACGATTTATCTCAACTGTAGCTTAAAGGTGGGAGTCGTAGTACTACGATTTATCTTGACTGTAGCTTAAAGACGGGAGTCGTAGTAATACGATTTATCTCGACTGTAGCTTAAAGACGGGAATCGTAGTAATACGATTTATCTCGACTGCAGCTTAAAGGTGGGAGTCCTATTAGTACGGTTTGCAACTACACTGCGGAATCCATGCACCACTTTACATTTGTATTTAGTATGTTTTATGGTTTGAAGCTGTTCGGTTGTTCAAATTCTACTTACAGTCTCTCTCTAATTGTGCATTTTTCAATTCCTATTTAGTATATAACATGCATAATAATAGTAGCTTGACATATAAAAAATATTTGTTAGAATTATCACGCTGTCTTATAACTGACAAAAAAACCCGAAGATCTGGAATTGATGGACATCGAAGAGCCACAACCTAGTACATAGAACTCGGCACCACGGACTCCACGATATAAAATTGATCTGCCTGGACGTCTTTCACTAGAAATCAAAAAGCACAAATTAATTCGGATAGAAAATAAAGGCAAAAAGCTATATGCCCAACGAAACTGCGTAGTTTGTGCGGCACATAAAAAAAGAAAGCTGACTTGCTTCAAATTGCGAGTTTTGCAACACACCTCTTCATTGTCGCGAGTGTTATCAACATTATCACACTCATAAAAAATACTAGATTATTCTCAATAAATATGTACTTTAAAACATTTTTTGTAATTAGTTTTTAGTTCTTTTTTAATATTTCTTGTAGTTTTAAGAGTTTAAATTTAAATAAACTTTCTTAAGTCTAAATTTTTTTATGATTACACAAAATATCGCCCACTCTAGAACTAAAAACGCGGCGGGGTGGTCGCCGCGTTACCTAGCATGCTTTCGTCAAGATCCCCCCCACCTTTAATGTGTTAATATAGAGGTATTATTTTACAGCAGAGCAGAATTAATCACAATGTTACATGACATTTACTATAAAATCGATCTGGTCATTAGGAAGTAATTACTATTATTACTAAAGAAACACTAAATGTTTGGCTGGTGTCAATCAGCAATTTAAGGTTAATGCATCTTTCCAGAATAACTTTTTTATCACTTCCTTTTTTCATTCAGTGTGCCTTTCTTAAGAAGTATTGCTACAAGCATTCAGTTCATGTTATACGATTATCTCGACTGCAGCTCGTAGCAATACTTCTGCATGGTTATCTGAAGATTATTTTATGCACATGGGCTGCCAGGTTTTGGTACATGATGAAAATTTGGCAACTTTTACCAAGATGGTTGCAATAATATACAACTTTCATCCCTTTAAATACCATTCTGCGATATTCTTCTCAGAGTACAACTAGCATGTAACATTTTTAAATTTATAATTCTGCAACATATTATAAATTTTTCAAATGCCAGAAATACATTCTTTATGTTTGTGAGCAATTTTATTACTTTAGAATCATAAAGGGAAAATTCATTAAACCAGAAATATCCTTTTCTTAAATTTTATGCATATTATACAGTTGGCTATGTGCCAATACCAAACCTCCAAATGTCTTCTACAACATGGATTATGTAAAACTCTATGAGGATCTCTTTTCACAAAAAAAAAAAAAAAAAAAAAGAGTATGTGGGTCAATACTTTTAATGGAAGTCTTCACAGCAATGCCTGTCAATTTGTTACTGTTCAAAACCTTTTTCCAAGTCGATATTTCACATTTCTTTATGTTTCAAAGCAAATGCTTTTTGTTTTGTTTACAATCCTGAACATGATTAATTAATCTTCCAAATTAAATAGCTTTATAATCTTTTGGTAATTAAACTTATCATGTTTTATTTTTTAGAATAACCTAAACTTACACTTAATATAACATGAATTGAATGGCCATATAAATAGTGTTATTTCGTGACTTTTATGAAATTGATTTTTTTTTTTTTTTTTTTTTTTATTTAATTTCAAAGTGCCAAAACTTCAATACCTGCATCATGTAAAACATTTCTACAGTTGTTGTTGTTTCTACAGTTGTGCAGTTGTTGTTGTTTCTACAGTTGTGCAGTTGTTTTTGTATTTTTCTACAGTTGTTTTTGTATGTGGGTTGTTGTTGTTTCTCATCCCTGTGACCAGCAGAGCTAGATCAGGTAGGTCCATGAGCCCATTCACCCTGAAAGAGTCCAGAACAAAAAGGGAGTCTTGAACCAGATCATGACTGGTAAGCCCCAGACAAGATAAAATGTGATCAGGAGAGGCCTGTGCAGTAGAACACTTAGTGCATATTTCAAGGTGTTTATTACCACCGACAAAAGTCATTGATAACAGACGGCTACTAAGGAATCTAGTAAGTGCAGTCTGACCTCGTCTATTGTTGCTGCTCTGAACCAAGGAGCCACCAGGGCACTTATTCTGATACTATTGGTGCACTGGTGGGACCATCCAAACGGCCTTATTCTTTGTCTTACATTTAGAAAATAGTTCCATATAAGTAAGAGAAGCGGCAGGCATTGTGGTCTCGCTAGCACCAGCTCTAGCCAAACTGTCCGCAATTTCCTTTCCAGCAACATCAACAAGGAATGGAATCCTCTGAAGGTGGATCCGAAAAGAAAGGGAAAGTTGTTTTAGTTTCCTGAGGATGTCTGCACTTGTATTATCCCTTACATTATACCAATCAGCCAGCAGATTGACTTCATAAAGTCAATATCTTTAAGGCTTGAATTGCGACGGCCAATAATAATTCTTGCAGCAAAGTTGTGCACGTTCAAATTTCTGTAGGTTTGAATCAGAGGCACAACAGAAGATGGGAAGCTGTACTCCAAAATGGCTCGAAAAAGGGAAACATAGGCGTTTCTGGAGGGTACTAGCATCGGCACCCCAATCACTGCCCGAGATGTACTTAAGGATTTCCTACTTCTTAAAACAAGATGTTCCAAGTGACTATTACCCAAAATCTCAGTATCCAATATGAAGCCCAAATACTTTGGGTGTTTCTCCACTTCCAAAGGCTGACTGTTCGATAGGATTCTTGGTCAAAAATTATATAATTTTCTATTGGTTGTGAAGAAAGTAGTACGTAGCGTATTCGGAAACTAACTACCGTTTCATTCTAGCGCCGTTGCAGCGCTGTGGTAGGCGTCCCGCGCATGCGCACTAGTCTTTCTTGTTCACTGACTTTCAATTGTCGCCATTATGGTTGCTGTATGTTGTGTTTTCAGTTTGCTGTGCACATTCAAAATGTTTAAGACAATTAGTTCTCCCTCTGACTGTGAAATTCGTGCCGTGATTAAATTTTTGAACACGAGGAATGTTAAACCGGCCGAAATTTATCGTCAAGTGACAGAAGTTTACGGTGAATACACGATAAGTGATGGAATGGTGAGAAAGTGGGTAAGAATGTTTAATGCAGGTCGAACAAATGTCCTCGCCGAGGCTCAGAGTGGTCGGCCTTCTGTTGTCACCGATGATTTGGTAAGGAAAGTTGAAGCAATTCATGAGAACAGACACTTCACACACAATGACAACTCTTTCCACAAATTTCACGTACTGTTTTGTTCGAAATTGTGTCTGACCGCTTGATTAATCGCAAACTGTGTTCCCGATGGGTTCCAAAAATGCTCACTTATGCTGTGGAGTCGTGGTTATCGAAACTGGCGGGAAGTTTCTTTGAAGATGGTACTATTTTTTTTTTTCAAAATGGTACTTAGTTTCCGAATACGCCTCGTAGTTCAGTAGTGTATGTGTACAACTAATGGGTGAGAAATTATAGGCAGCATCAGGACTTTAATGGACATGCCATATAACTGCACTCTCAATTTCAAGTAAAATGCCTTCGTGTTCTTAAAATGTTTAAATCTAATAAATGTACTTCATTCATACCATAGGCAGAAAAAAGAATGACTTTTATATTTGAGAGAATAAGGTTGGTAAACTGTCAATAAATTGCCACACCAAGTATGTTCATATGTCAAGCTCCTATGTATGGCTTCAGACGAGTTGGGGAAAAAACATCTTGAAACACATTCAGAAGAACATTATCTTCAGTTTATTTTCATATAATCTGACTAGCAGATTTTTTAAGCTGTTTTATCATTTCTCTGGAAATTTCATTTTTTTACTTTAGCTAAAAATTCATTGCATAAAGGGCAAAATGACACCAACAGCACGATCCAAATAACCCTAACAACTTGTTTGCTGCTACATCGTTCATTTTAAGTATTTAAAAATATATGACTATTTATTTATAAACTTATGTGTATGATTAAGACACAATACCATGCCGAACAAATACTAATTCAGAAGTCAAAGAACAAAAATCAGCGTTATATTTTCACATGACTAGTTTCGATGGTTTTACTGAACCACCATCGTCAGCTGCAAAAGCGCAAATGAACAAGATAGAATATAATGATCAGATAAGATAAAAAAAGCCTGGACAGAAAATAAGCTAGTGGCGCCATCTGTTGATGAAACCAGAACTAAAACATAATTTCTTTAAAGGCCGAAGGCAAAGACTGATTGGAATTAAGATCGTTAACTAGAACAAAAAGATTTTTTGAATGTGAAATGCCTCTTTCTTTAAAGGCCGAAGGCAAAAATAGATTGGAATTGGGATCGTTAACTAGAACAGAAAGATTTTTTTGAATGTGAAATGCCTCTTTCAAAAAACATCTTCCATTGGAGAACTGGATTTTCAAGAGGGATTTCACATTCAAAAAAAAATCTTTCTG